TTCCATTTTGGTATATTTACTTAGCTGTGCACACATGATTACCTATTAGCTTGAGCCTGCTGAGCCAAGCTCCCTGATACCTTTCTGGTGGATGCTGGTGGTTGAAGTGCCATGTATCAATGAATATTAGTTTACACAGCCTGTTCCAAAATACAGCAAGGTGAGCCCGGAGAGAGAGGAAAGACAGCCAATGGAGAGAGCAAGGAGAAACAGCCAGGGGAGAGAGCGAGTAGATACAGCCAGGAGAGAGAGGAGATACAGCCAGGAGGATGAGCAAGGAGAGACAGCCAGGAGAGAGAGCAAGGAGAGAAAGCCAGGAGAGAGAGAGAGAGAGCGAGGGAGGTTTTTTTTCGTTGGTAGATCTCATGTAGATCGTCATTTGAAAAGTAGATCTTAACACTAAAAATTGTGGGCACCCCTGCTGTATAATAATAATACCCAACCCACAAAATGCTGTTTGTCTAGGTACTCCACCACTTGTCCACCCCCTGCTCCAAAAAAGTTGCTTTGCTTCTTGGAAAACCTCACACTTGTACCCCATCCCACTGCTAATACCTGTAGGCTTTGCTGTAACCAAACAAGAAACCATTCAGGAGCATATGAAGCTAAACCTATACTCATCAATGTCATATTTAATTTTCTACTGTGTTCCTATTAAAAAAATGTATGCACACATTATAAAATGTGGTTACAGAATAAACTCTGAGCAACATATATAGCTCATGTGTTTTTTTTTCTTATGACAAAAACAGGTGTTATTCAGAAAAGAGTTAAGAGTTTGGAGAAGGCAGGAGAAGTGAACATCGTAGGATAACATGGCTGAACTGGAAAGTGAGCTGAATTGGAGATGTTTTCCAGTTCAGCTATGTTGTCCTAGATTGTTCACTCCTCCTGCCTTCTCCAAACTCTTCACCCTTTTGTGAATAGTCCTGTAAGTAAAAAAAAAATTAAAGGTGAACTTATCATTAAAATCCACACTTTACATGAATCATATGTCAGCTTTACCATAAAAGCCAAAAATGTTTGTCGTACTCTTCCAGGCTAAGAAGCAGAGATCACATGATCTCTAGCTCCAATTGATTAGAGCTTGTTGAGTCTATTTTTTGGCAAAAGAAAAGTTGTTCTACTCCCCTACTCTCTACCCTGGAAAGCAGACCTCAGCTTTACCCACAGTTGGAAAGTGCCAAAAACACGGTTAGGGCTTGTTCACACCAGATCCGGACCATATCTGGATGCGTTTCTGCATATGCAGTGCAGTGCATTTTCACACGTGCAGTCCGGTGCTTTCTTTTTAGCTTAAAATGGCCCTTTAGAAGTGGTCCAGTGCGTTCCAGAGCATTTGCTTTTGATGTGATTACATGCGTTTTGGTGCTTTCCAGAGTAGAAAAAATAGCGCCTGCTGCAGTTTTTACACATGCACTGGAACTGAACACTGGTTTGAACTAGAGCCCAAAATACCATTTGGAATACATTGAATGCGATTTGGATGCGCTCTTAAGCTGCTCTGCACTGCATCTGCTTCGCACTTGGTGTGAACTAGACCTCACAGACCAGGAAATGAGTAATTAATTTGCTGGCTAGGCAAAGCCAACCAGTTTCCATGTCTCAAAACAAGTGTGACTGGAGAGGTATTATACCCATCTTCGCAGCAGTTCTTTTCATATATGTGCTTTTTGTTCCCAGGAATGTGTATGTGAATTGAGCGTTTAAAAATGGGAAGGGGGTTATGGCTTTCCTGGAATTTTAGGGGAGGTAATGTTGTACAAGGATGGGATTGTGGTGAGAGCATAGGGAATCCATCCACTCCCGATATATATTCTTTAACTGCCTTTGACTGAATCTGGTACTCTGCATCTTTCTGGGAAGTGCTTAAGAGATTGGCTGTAAGGTTCACATCAGGGAGCGGGTGGGGGGTGGATTGATTGTAATTATATTGTAATAATTTACCTGTGCCTAGGGGAGGGGGAGGGTTATGGTCAGAGGGTTAGTTATTGGACCTTGCATGGTCCTTTAAGGTTGTTGGCATACGTTATGCCGTAATGTATACACTGTTGTGTGTGAATGGGGTGCTATGTTGGTGCCCGAATGTTACTGTAATGTAATGTAATTGTTTACTATGCAAAAAGAATAAAAAGATTTTTCAAAAAAAAAAAAAATGGGAAGGGGAGCACTATTTTTTGCGATCGCACTGGACCGGAGTGCAGGCAGTGATGTGCCATGCAATCGCACTGCGTGGGGGGTGGGGGCTTGGCAGTGGTGCCTTTGTCTTGAATGCACAGCCATGCCCCCTCCCACCCCAGAATGCAGGGAGGATTTTCTAGTGCGTTCCAGCAGCTGACCATGCTGGAATGCGCTGGAAGTTGTGTGAACTGGCCCTAAAGGTGATACATACAGTCAGCACCAGCTGTAAAAAACAAACAAATGGAAAAAAAGCACACCCCAAACCTGCTTTTTAGTATGCTGTAGTGCACCTTGTTCTATCCTGTATTCCACAAATAGCCAGCGGTAGATCTGTGATATCAATATGGGTTGGAAGCAAAGCACATTGTTGTTCTTTTGCTGGCAGTAAAAGGAATACAAGTAGGAGGTACAGAGCAAGAGAGATACAATTACATCAGCGTCTGCCAGCCCAGGAAGCTGCAAGCATTGTCAACAGCCCTGAAGGGAGGGAAGTAAAAAGGGAAAAACCAGCCCATGTAATGCTTTGTTATGAAACTGACGCTAGTACAACAGCAGAATGTAAATCTTTGAAGGTGCTTAGCAAGGTTTTTGTGCTGTGAAGCTTAAAGTGAAAAGACAGACTTAATAACACAGCGTGCTGGAAGCAGAATGCACAGACAAGTAAGAATTAATTGATAAAAAAATAAAATGTGGTTATTAAAAAATACATTTTGCAGGATGGATGTTTTGTTGTTAGAATATGAAGTGAAAATAGCAATAAGGTCCAAGCCACAGCGACACACATTATTGCAAGATGCAGGTGAAAGCGTTTTTATGTTTTTAATATTGTATCTGTCGCATTCTTATTACAAATGAGAATTTTGTACTTTTGCACTAAGCATTGCTTTATAAATGTCTGAAGAAAGAAAGTTTTTTGATGCACAAGGTAGATATCCACCTTCCTTCTTCAGTATTGTGCTTGAATCCGGGAAGTAAGAACCTGGCTGCTACAGGAAAGAAATCTGTCATTCCCTCACACACTTTTCTGCCTTATGTGGGGGTCAGATCTTTATAGTATGTGCTATACTCCTTGCTGTGAGTCATTTTTATCCTCTGGGTAGATATCACATTGGCTAATTCCCATTATCAATGCAAATACTGCCTGCTATATTTTTTGAGGCATTTGAATTAGGCCCCATTCACATCAGATCCCTTGCGTTGTGATCCGTTTCTTAATGGATGCTAACACATGGGCACTAGGGCTCCAACAACTAATTGATTCAATCGATAATAATCAATTATGAGAATAGTTGGCAACTATTCTGAGAGAGATTTTTTTTAATGCAACCAATCAATTAGTTGAAAAAAATTATCGGACAACTAATCAGTTATGAAAATAATTGTTCGCTGCAGCACTAATGGGCAGAGATGAATCATTTTTCTTCAGATTTTTGATGTGAACGGACCCTACATTGTGCATTTATGTTAACGTGTTACTACAGGTATTCCTCACTTAACGACCGAGTTCCTACGACCAGGTCGTTAAACGAATTGGTCGTTAAGTGAGGAACTCTATACAGTACTGTACTGCATTAGTACAGTACTGTATAGCGTTGCAGATGTACAGTACCGAAGAGTGTACTGTACATCGGGCAATTAAAATACTTACCGGGACCCGCAGTGAAGATCGGAGGATGCCACTTCCGCCGGCGACACGTCGCACTGACGCTGACAAGCAAGGTCGGAGGTCGCTCGGCAGTCCGTCGTAAGTGCGAGTGGTCGCAAAGCAGGTAAGTCGGTAACCGAGGAATGTCTGTATACAAATTTATATAGCAATCGGTTCACAAAATAAAGGTTATCACTCTAACCCTTACATAATTTGGCTGTTGTTGAAGTTAAGAAGGATCACATCCTCAATCATGTTAAAATTGCTCATTGTCTACCTGTGGGAGATTTTACCTTGCTTTCTGCCCTGGTAGTGATGAAAGAGAAACTGAGGTGACCAACATTACACAGACCACAATAAACAAACACACAATTACAGAGACAAAATGAAAAAAGCGCTATCACTGTCTGTGCTTCAAATGGTAAAAGAAAATGTCTTCGATGGCTACAGAAAACGCTGTATAAAATTCAGTATCTGTGTTTGTGACTTTTTTCAAGAGAAAATAATTTGGAAAAAATGACTCTCGTACTTTAGTGAATTGACCCTTTTATGTAGCAAACTCATTATGTAGTGCCTTTATTCACATAAATAGTGCAAGGACCAAGACCCATAGCAACCAATCAGGATCTGCTGCTTGCATTATTTATTAAATAAACCGTTAGTGGACTTGCTAAAGTAAAGGGTTTATTTTGAAAAAAAATGTAAATAGCATCTTCGGGATTGAAAGAGAAAAATTATAATATTGTGGAAAACAGTACGTTTACTGAACACATTTGACTTCCTTATCAAGTAATCAATCAACTGGTCAAAAACTTTACTCCTTAAATTTTTTAGTAACTGTACGGGTTATTCTAACATTGTTTTTGAGCAAAGTAACTCATTCCCAGTATGTTGATTACCCTGTGTTGGAAAGGAGATATTACAAGAGGTTAAATCCCCAGTATCATGAAGTCCAAAATGTTCATGTAATTTTATCCCTGGAAGGGCTAATAACCAAGAGTATTTGGCTGCATGTTTACCGTGGAGTGTCAGCTGAAATGTAAACCAATTACTTCATCTATGACTTTATAGACATCTCCACATTTTATTTCTGAAAATACATCAAATAATGTGTAACGGTACGGTTTTTTTTTAATTTAAAGAGTGTACTTAATTTTAATTTTTTTTAATACAGGTATCATGTCCATAGCAAACTGGTGAGCTTCATGGCTCCCATTGGCCACAGCACAATGAATGATGAGGCTAGGTGAGTAATAGACTAATAATGTTTATCAAATGCTTTCATGACAGCGTGATATCGACTTGTTCTTCACACTGTCGTCCGCTGTTTTTTTTCTTATCATTTAAGCATTTGTCACTACTGTCAGGGCAGGGCATCCCCTGCACATCAGCTTTGGTAATCTAGCCAGTTTACATTATCATGATTGTTGTAAAATCCAGCCGAATGTTAAAATGAACCAGATAAAAACACAAGTCTACAGAAGTAATGCAAGTGTATGCCACATTTACATAGATGTGTATATCCGCATCTCATTTCTTTGCTGGAAGCTGTGTCATTGTCCGTCAGTCATACAGGATCAAGTGCAACTATAGAGTATGTTGTGGGTTTATTAAGGTAAGTTTTTTGTAATGCTGGATGATTTGTGTTTATAACAATAACCTACTCTTTATACTAAAAGCCTTATATAAGCTTCATTTTTTAGGTTATTTATTTTGTTTTGTTTTTTTAAAGCAAACTGATGATGTAGTGCAGCTACAATAAAATCAGCACACTTAAGAAACGGAAATCTTTCTAACTGGTAGTTAAAATTCAGTCCTCATCTTTTCTTCTGAGCAGGCTCTTACTTTGCCGCAGGACAGCACACACATAACTGATACATACACCAGTGTCACACCTTTAACTCCTGTGCAGATCTACTTACTCCCTTGAGGAAACCAGCAGATTCCATTGCTGAAAAATGTATCTTAATGCATGAAAATAATCACAAAAAGTAAAAGGTAATTGATTTTAACTGTAGAAGTATGAATGGATACGGGCATCGCTGCCTCTTTTCAAATAGCGGGGATTTCCCGCTCGCGCGCGGCGTGCCAGAGCGGGCGGATCTAACAGGACGTGTATACACGCCCAGTTACATCCAAGAAGCCCCCGGCAGGCCGTGTATACACAGCGGATGGCCGGGAGGTAGTTAAAGGTGTGCTGGCTTACTTTAATGGAGTGGAGGGTGTTTTCATCTTCATTTTTAAATCAGAAGCACCGTTTAATTCACATATAAGGGACAGAAAATGTTTCTCTTGCTACAAGTTTTATTATTTATCTTGGTAATTTGTCTGCCAGTGCACAAGGCAAAGATCTATGAAAACAGGGCTATTGAAAAAGTGTTTGTTTGTTTTTTGTGTGAAAAAGCTTAACCTTGCTTATTAAGTCCAGTCTGCTTTTAAGAGTAGAGGTGTTTTGCTATGTATTTAGTCAATTAATCTTAACATCAGCTAGATGTTATCCAACAATAGCATGTGGCTTGAGCAGTGACTTTTTCAAATCTATTGCTTATACAGTGTGTTTTATACCTGTTGGTTTGTTGGAGCAGTTGATTCATGTACCTATATCCGTGCAATTTACCGCAAATGGAGCAATGCTTCTCAACCTAACAGCGACTCAGCTTTCCACACATAACTGTATGTGCTAATGATCTTTGTGCTTTATAGCTATGTGCAGCCGTCTCACTCACCCTGCATGTGCAGTGATTATACCATCAGGAGGACACAGCTCCCAAAAACTTGACACTTTTCGCCAAGGCATTGGAGATTGAAATTAAAAAGTAAAGATAAGGATTACAGGAGTACAAATCATTTGGAAGACAAACATTTTTTATACCCCTATGCAGTGGGAAATGTGCTTATTACAGGAGATCAGGGAAGCGAGCTATGTTTAGTAATTAGGAAGGTACTCCAAGATTACTGTATAGTAGCAATCCGTTTATTTTCTTGCCCTAATCATTGCTTAAAGGAGAACTATGGGGTCAGTGTTTTTCCCCATAGTTCTCCTTAGGGTAACGGGAGAACACAAACTAGCGTCCTCCCGTTACCCTAAGCTCAGTATACCGCGAGCTACAGCTCGCGGTATACTGAGACGCCGCAGCCGGAGCGGATCCCGACATCGATGTCGAGATCCGCCCAGCTGCGTGAGTGACAGCTGGCTCTGCCTATCTAGAGGCAGAGCCAGCTGTACCCGCCCCCTCCCCCGTCCGTTCCGCCAGTCAGTGCTGGCGGATCGGAGCGGGGAGTGGGGAATCCAGCCCCTCCCCTGTCACGGCAGAGAGCCGTGACAGGATCGAGAGGTGAGCGAACGCCGGTATCTGTTCGCTCACCTCCCGATCTACTGAGCCGACCTGTGACAGTCTCACTGTCACAGGTCGGCTAGAACTATGTGGTGAGTGGAAATCACTCATCTCATAGTTCTCCTTTTAAGAAGTATGACTTTTTTTTTAAAATAATGCATATGTGTCTCAGGCACTCGTATCAAAATACATAGGTTCTGCACAGTTTTCTGGCAAATGGTATTAATTCTGCTACTGTCCCCTTTATAATTGTAGCCTTCTTTTATTGCCTATTATTGTTTATGGCCTCTTTCCAAAACTTGCTGTGTATGAACTATAGGAGCGAAGTAATGTTATACACACAGTGTGTACTGACCTATTTAATGGTGTAGTTATTTTTCTATAAACTGCTCTTCTATTTCAAAGAAAGTAGGTAAACATGTTTATTGGTAATTATATGGTTTATTTCTCCGTACATCTGCCTGTCTTTCTCTAGTGTACAGTATTTCTGTTTACGCACCTCTCCAGTGTATTCTCCACCTTAGTGCACGCATGTACCTCTGTACTTCAGGTCTCCACTTGTTCCTTGTATCTTTATACAATACCTACTTGTAACGCACAATCCCTGTGTGCATTCGCCTTTTTGTCCTGCACTTTGTGTGTAATCTTCTGTGTATCCTGTATCTCATTATACACGTTTCCTGTGAGTATCTGCTACTCCTGTACCTGTATGCTACGCACCTTCCCCATGTGTCACCGTCTCCTGTGTCCCTGCGCTTCTTTCCTCCTTGGTGTATCCTGTGTTGCACGCTTGGCACCTTTAGTTGTGTGTCTCTTTCTTCTTCTGTGCCACTGTTACTATCCTTCTCCTCTTGGTTTCAGGTTTCTTCCCTGTCACTGTATCTAGTACCCCGGTGCTTCCCCTAGCCCTCTGAGTCTTTTCGGGTGCGCTAGAGGGCTGCAACCTGGAAGATGTCCAGCAGTACAAATCATCCTCACCATTGGATGCTCTGTAGAAGACCTGGTCCTTCTTAGACACTGTACCTCTAGTGCATCCCTGATAACGCGCAGACTTAGTTTATATGTTCCTTGTGACCTACATCCCTGATATCACTCCAGTCCTTACCTTCAGTCCGCTCCGTAAGCCCCGAAGCCCATCTTCTCCTGTGCCCCGGTCTTCAGACCGTTACACTATAAAAGAGAAACAGTCCTCCTTTTCAATAAAGACTGTGCAATACAGTTTAATGCACACCAGGCATGTTCTATGCATTTTGGAACATATTGGGACACAGACAGAGTACATTGACAAATTAAAATATTGCTTGAGACGGGTTTTTCTTTGGATTCCGCACTGCATTGTAACACATAGGGAAAAAGTTCCACAGGCTGAACTTTTTTTTTTCTTCAAATTTTATTGAAGTTAAAAGACAATAAAGTGACAAGTTAAGTCAGGGCATAATCACAGTACTCTATTGTACATATTAACAGTACATTGATGTATCGTATCCTGGAATGTGGTGTCATCCACCGCAGAGGGTTGTCAGGTGGGCTAAGTTAACGCTTACAGGCGTGCAGAATAGTGTCAGCGTGATGTTAAGAGTGTGTTTTCCAGGTATCGATGTACAATATGGCGGGAGTACTAATTATGGTATGGAGGGGGAAGATCATGGGAGAACAGTGAGGGGTGAAGGAGAAGAGGGGTGAAAAGAAAAGGATGGGGAAAGTCTGGCTGCGAGCGGGAGTGGGGTTAGTGCTATCAGACTATTACAGTGCTTCCCCGTCATAAGGCACAGGCTGAACTTTTTATGTGTTGCTTTATATGGACCTTTTTACGTAAAACAAACTGACAGTTTACTGTAAATTTTTAAGTGTTTTTTTTGCATAATATTTACTATGATTGGTTACATTTGTAAGTGGTCTAAGGAAGGAAAACTGCTGAACCGGCAACAAGGTGAGGGGCGGCCAAGTCCCATTGATGAACATGAGGAGCATGTAGTCCGATCCAGTAAAGAGCTATTGTAGCTTAAATTGCTGAAAAAGTTAATGTTGGTTCAGATAGAAAGGTGCATGAACACACAACGCTTTGCAGTTTGTTGCTTATGGGGCTGCATAGCTGCAGACCAGTCAGGGTGCCCACGCGTACCTGTGTTAACTGTTAAAAGCGCCCACAATGGGCAAATGAGCATTCAGAACTGTACCACGGAGCAATGGGAGAAACCAGCCTAGTCTGATGAATCACATTTTCTTTACATCATGTGGATGGCAGGGAGCATGTTTGTCATTTACCTGTGAAAGAGATGGCACCAGGATGCGCTATGAGAAGAAGACAAGCTGGCAGAGTGATGCTTTGGGCAATCCTTGGGTCTTACCATTCATATGGATCTTACTTTGACACCTACTTTGGGAATCCTTGGATCTTACTTTGACACCTACCTACCAAGACACCTACCTACCAAGAGGCAGTGGCCTCTTTCAGCAGCATAATACATCCTGTTACACTGCAAAAATGGTTCAAGAATGGTTTGAGGAACACAACAACAAGTTTGAGGTGTTGACTTGGTCTGCAAATTCTTCAGACCTCAATCCAATCGAGCAGCTGTGGGATGTGCTGGAAAAACAAGCCTGATCCATGGAGGCCCCGCCTCGCAACTTCCAGGACTTAAAGGATCTGCTACTGACAGCTTGGTGCCATATACCACAGCAAACTTTCAGAGGTCAAGTGTAGTCCATTCCTCAACAGGTCAGAGCTTTTTTGGCAGCAAAAGGAGGACCTACTCAATATTAGGCAGGTGGTCATTATGTTATGGCTGATCGATGTATACTTGCATATCCCCATTTGCCCAGTACATCAGTGATTCCTTAGCACAGCTATGGGTCACAAGCACTTCCAGTTTGTGTCCCTGCCATTTGGTCTATTCTGTGCATCTTGAAT